GTGTGCTAATCTAGCCTTTGCCTGAGGCTATCGGGCAAAAGCCTCTGTGCCGGGCTTGGGCGGGGCGGGTCGCACGGGATCAACAGGGCGGGCCGGATAGGGAGAGCAGTTATGGCCGCTCTCAGTCCTGTCCCGGGGGCTCTGCCTCTCTGAGTCCCAGCAACCGCTGCAAACCTCGGAGAGAAAGCTGCCTTCGAGTTCCGACCGAAACCAGACAGTCCTGCTTCTCCCGTTTGAGTCTGTGCCCCTAAAGACTCTCCCGGATCTGGAGCTCACAGTCTGCGACTCCCTCCGGATTGAAAACACCAACCGCCGCCCGCTCCGCGCACTCCGCACCTCAGAATTTGACTTCAGCACTGCGCCTCCTCTGAGTGTCCGTATGCGTTACTCTTTCCTCCTAGTTGTAGGACTTCCACTCAGCCAGCGTTCCTGTGGGTCTGGGTGATGTCCGTTCCGTCTTTTAGTTTCACTTTTGAAGTGGTTGTTCGAGGCAGCAAACTCCGGCGTTAACCTATGCCGCCATCTTGGTTCTCGAAAGAGGCAAAACTGCTGATTTTAATCGACTGACATCCAGTCTGCCTTCTAGTAAACAACCTACCATATATCTACGATACTGGTCCTCTTCCATTCACACATCCTGTGGTTTGGATGTGGTTTACAAGGGGACCTGGAAACCCAACCAATGGACAATGACAATATTTTTCTCTCCCTATCCAATGAGATTAGTTCCTGATGGACCAAGATCCAGAAGGATCTTCTTATCTAAAGAAGACCATTTGTTTCATGGGTATAATTTCCAAAATTATTTAGAACTGTTGGGAAAGATCTTTATTCCTTTCACTGGAGTTGTTTATGTGGTAGGGCTAACACTGGAGATTCTGAAGACTAACTCTGCGTCTTTTGGGGGGAGCCTACCTGTGTTTGAAGGCCGCACACATTGCTATAGACCCGAGAAGCAGACACATATTTCTCCCTCTGCTGTTGACACTCACCTATCCAGCTGTGCTCTGATACTCTTTTTCCTGAAGCTGCACAAAAGATGCCCCTTTTCCTTACCACAAGATGAATTGGAAGTCCCTCATTCTCAACTGGAATATTCATGAAAAATATAATACTGTTAACTCCATTTTAAATATGGTGGTGAGACTCAGAGAAGCTGATGACTTGTAAAACGTTCTATAGACATAACACAGAACTACTTTCGTCAAATGCTCTCTGACTCTATGTCCAGTTATCTTGCCTCTGCTCTAGGCTGCTTCTCCTCAAATTTCAGGAAATTGTCGCAGACATGATCTCGACAGTAAGAATGCTCATCTTATTTTTCATTGATAAGTACCTCACCACTAAAGGGTGAACAATTAAAACGCAGAATACTCTTCAACAGAATCTTCAAACATTACCTTTTGGTAATGAAAGGTGAGAATAAAATTCCTATAATCAAATTTAAGAAGAGAAAAGATTGGTTGTTTTTTGGATATAATAATAAGACTATTATTATTATTAAGACTATTGCTAGAGCAATAGTCTCATTTCAGTAACAAAGCTTCCACAGCTACAAGTCAACAAATCGCTAAACACTCCTCCTTTTGAACATCTACCCATTTGTGTATCCCATGCTTCCGCAAAACCTACACAACATCAGCCAATTTCTTTATTGAAAAACTGCACACTGCAAGTGGTAATCCCTTGCTTGGCAAGAAATACATTCATAGTTTTGACTTAGATATGGCCTCTTATGCTCTGGAAAGGGAAAATACATTCACATCTCTCATTACCTAGAAATGGTGACAACTGATATAGTTATGAACAAAAATATAAATTAAATGCACACATCTGCAGTCTAATGAGCCAACTATTGACATTAGAAATTCCTCTTAGATTTCTAGAAAACTCACCATTTATACTGGAGGCCAAGGTCACTTT